AAAGGGCTGGATTAACTTCCTCAGGAAGGAGCAGCTCCCTGAGACTGACTTCTCCTTCGACAGGTCTTCCTCTTGCAGTTCTTTAAGAATCAGAAGTCTCACCAGAATCAGAATCAGGGTGTGGGAGAGGGTTAAAGGAGGACAAATAGAGTCACAGGGCCTTGGAAATCAGGGAGTTCAGTCAGTAGAAACACTGTGAGGTGATTTCCTTCCAAGCTGTGGAGGCTGGGAGAGCCTTTTCACTGTAATAGCTCGTGCCTGTGCAAGCACCGAGTCCAGTTACCCAGGAGGCAGCTCCCAGAGCACCTTAGGGCAGTTCTGATGTCACCACTAAAGGAGGCTCCTGGCACCAGGAAGCAGGACTGGCCAGGTAAGTGCAAGAGGCCTTCAGTCAAATGTGTGTGTCTGTGTGTGGGGTGAGAAGCTGCTGTAGCACACAGGGGGTCCTGCATGGCTCTGTGCAGGCTTGTCCCTTCCCTGGAATAAGCAGGACGGTAGCTCAGCCTTAGGCACATGGATTCAGGGCGTTCTGCATGCTTGGGTCAGTCTGAAGCGGAATAAAGGAGGTTCCTGGTTGGTTTGGAGCTCCCCCTGCCCCGCACAGGTCACCTGTGAGCGCAGGTGTTGGGGCCAGGAGGGGCTGCCCACACCCCCAGGACGCTGCCCTTGCTCCCCACACCCCAACCCCCTCCCTGACACCTCCCTTCTCCCTTCTCCACACCAGGTCTACTACATCAACTTCACCGATTTTGCCAGCTACGAGGTGGTGGTGGACGAGAAGCCCTTTCTGCAGTGCACTCGGAGCATCGAGACCGGCAAGACCAACTTCAACACCTGCTACACGGCCGGGGTGTGCCTGCTGAAGGCCAGGCAGAAGATCGCCGTGAAGATGGTCCACGCTGACATCTCCATCAACATGAGCAAGCACACGACTTTCTTTGGGGCCATCCGCCTGGGAGATGCACCCGCATCCTAGAGAGGAACTTGGCGTGGCCAAGGACACCCACGGAACTGCACAGTGCTGCTGTTCATAAAGCGTATCAGTATTTCAGGGGTTCTGTAATCCGGCCATAAAGGAAACTGATCCAGAGCTATTTATTCCTATATGTGAATGCAGGAAGCACAATTGTCCTCTGTGACTCGCGGGGAGACTCGGATCAAACCAAAAAGCTGGTGGGGAGAGCGTTGTGAGGAGGAAAGGCTGTTGGGTGTGCCTTGTCTCAGTATTTCAAGTATTACTGCACTGATACTCTGCTCTGTGACCTTCACACGAGGCTTGGTGGGAGAGCTGGGGGCTCTGCTGGGATGCTGCGCTGGCAAGAGCACCCCAGGGGGGAGCGGGAGGACACGGACTCCCGTCCCAAAATCCCAGCCAGGCTCCTGCTTGTGCACGCTAACGACAGCCAGGAAGGGGGTTCTGGCTTCCTGCCTTCCCAGGGGGAGCTGGAAGGGCCGGGGGGCGAGGGGAGGTGGGTGAGACAGGCTCAGTGGTGTTTACATTCATCCTCAGGAGGAGGAGGAGGAGGAAAAGTGCCTCGACCTAGAGCTTGGAAGCAAAAGCAGGAAGTGCGAGAGGAAGAGGAATAACTAGAGCAGGCTTAGCAGATAGGAAACTGCCTCCACATTCCAGAAACCACCAAATCCCAAAGAAAACGCCGATTCCCAGGTCCAGGCCTCTGCTCCTTTCAGCTCCTGCCCTTACCCCAGAGGTAACCTTGCCCCAGCGGGGGCTGCCTTCAAGTACTGCTGCTGTTACAGCAAGTTGAGTTGGGTTGTGGGGGTATTTTGGTTTTTTGGGTTTTTTTGTTTGTTTGGTTGGTTTTTTTTGGGGGGAGGGGGTGGATTTTGTTTTGTTCTTTTTAATTAATATTTTGCAAACCAGAACACATTTCTACAGGCTTCACCGAGCCACGTAGAGCAGCCACAAGTACTTGTGACAACACTCGGAGGAAGTTTGTTATGTTTAAGAATAAAATATTCAAACAGGAATTTTTTTTTTTCTGTTTTAATAGCAACTGTCCTGATTTTAGATGCGGTTTTTAGCCTTCTTCCCCCCACCCCTTTCCTTTTGGCACCCTCCTACCTAAAATAAGTGGTGATAGAGACTTTAGCAAAGGAAAAAAAGGGATTTTAAAATCCGGTCCAGCATGAAGTCACCACTTTTTCTTTTCTCTGAGCCCTGCTGAGTCTAGTCATGACTCGATTTCTGGTGACTAATAGAGGAGCTGGGACACTATTGTTTCTTTTGGCTTCTTGAGCAACTCTGTCCCGTTACCTCCCCTCAGCTGGGGAGACCTAAAGCCATAAGATGCTCTGGAGCTGAGGCACAGGCACAAATTGCTCTGTTGTCTCAGCCCTTGGCTCACACTTGCTCGGCTTGGTTGGGGTTTTGTTTCCCTGTGTTTCTTTCCAGAGCCTGTTTGTGCTTTCAAGAGGGGAGTGAAGTTGCAGCCTGTGTAGAAACGGGACAAATCCAGAAGTGGCATCTTCAGCCTGGAGCAGGGGAGGTTTTGGGGACCTCAGTGCCTAAAGGGGCTCCAGGGGAGCTGGAGAGACACTTGGGACGAGGGATGGAGGGACAGGACAAGGGGAAGTGATAGGGTTAGGTGGGATAGAGAGATGGAATCCTTTCCTGTGAGGGAGGGCAGGCCCTGGCACAGGGTGCCCAGAGAAGCTGTGGCTGCCCCTGGATCCCCTGGAAGTGTCCAAGGCCAGGCTGGACAGGGCTTGGAGCAGCCTGGGACAGTGGAAGGCGTCCCTGCCCATGGCAGGGGGTGGAACTGTTTGATCCCACAGCCCAATCCTGTGATTCCATGATTTGGTGCTGGCTCCGTGCAGAGGTGGCTCACGGTCACCTGCAGGGTGTGGAAGGGACATGTCCCAGCTGTGCTGCGGCCACCGAGGGCCCGCCCTGCCTGGAGCATTCCTGGCTCCATCCCTAGCGAGTGATGTCCCTTGCCAAGTGTTGCAGTTATTGGGAGACAGAAATTCCTCGGGGCAGCGGCGTTGGCCGCAGCCTCCCTATTCACAGGAGCCGTGCACTTCGGGAAACAACTGCGTGACAAATGGGCTGCTCCGGCTTTTTAGTGGCTTCTCCTCCCTTCAGCTTCGACATGTGGGACGGGCAGGAGCCTTGGGGGCTCTTCACTGGGCTCTGTGGTTTTCTTTCCTTTCAAACGGATTAAGAGGGACATGTTGCTGTGACAAGAATGAAGCGAGACAACTGTGTGCAGCGAGAACATGAAGCAAATCGTTAACAGGACTGCTTTAGAACAGGCCTGAGCAGCAAGGCTGGGGGCAGCCGTAAATAACGGGGGGTTGGGAGGGCCGGGGATGGAGTTGGCATTCCTTGTCCCCCGCTGGCAGGATCTGGGATGTGCTCCATGGCTGCGGGCAGGGGGGGCAGAGGGAGAATCCCTTTGCTCTGTAAAAGGCTGGAGCACTGCTGTCCCCTCTGGTGTGTGCTCGGGGTGTTGGAGGAGAGAGCAATTCCTTGGGATGCAGGAGGGAGCAATTCCTTCATGGAATGAACGTGTGAACATTTTTCTGGTGCTCACACCAACCAAAGTGTGAGTTGGAGATGTGGAATTGGAGCTGGCTGCAGGTGACCTTGGCAAACAGCTTTTTCCTGTTCCCGGTGGGATGTCCCTCCCCAGGCACTCCAGGAGCTCCCAGGGAAGGTCTGTACAGCCACACTGTGCTTTGTGAGGGGACAGCTCCGTCCTTCAGGGCTGGGAGAGGCACCGTCCCTGGTGGGATCAGAGCTGCTGAGGAATGCCCTGGGAATGCACGGAAGGAAGGGCAGATCCAATGGACTTGGATAACCAGGAATCCTTCTGCTCCCAACAGCCAGGCTGGAGCCCAGCACCCACAGTGTGGATGTGACCTGGACAGGTGCTTCTGTCCCCGCTTCCTCCACACTCCAGTCCTGCTGCTCCTTCCTCACACCCCTTGGAGACTTCTCCCACAAAATCCTTGGGGGAACAGGGAATCCCTCCAACAGACCCTGCTGGAGCCCTGGAGCCATCATGGAGGGCTCAGGAAGCACAGGATAGCTGGTTTCAGAGCAGATCTCTCCCTGTTCAGGCCGTGTGGTTCACTCTGCCTTTATCACGATCCACGAAAAACCTCTCGGTGTTTGCCAGCTCTGATCCACACCCGGAGCTCCTGCAAAGGGAGTTCCCAGCCCAGGGATTCTCTGTAGAAGTCCCAGATCCAAATCAGGGACTTTTCAGCTGCTGCCAGGGGCTGTGTCACCGTGCAGACCCAAGCCCAGCAGTTGGGGTGCAGGGGGACAAGCCGGGCTTCCCCGGGCGTGGCAGGGCTGGAGTGCCCAGGCTGGAGCGCCCAGGGCCGGTTCCGCTTTTGGGAGGGCTGGGGGGGTCATCCAGAGGTCGGTGTTTCCCTGGCAGGAGGAGCTCACATCTGCACAGATGTGCTGTGTGCTCACAGCTGCTTCCAGCCCCACCCAGCCCCGGCACGGCGGGGCATCAGCCCAGAACGCTGTCCCTGGCCTGTCACCGCTGTCCTGCCTGCCATGGATGCTGGGGACACCCGGCCAGCTCAAGGCTGAGTCACATCCTGAGGTGACAAAGTGGCCCCCACCACGGCAGCTATCAGAGGGTGAAGGGTAACTCCGATGTGTAACTATATATATATTTACTATTATTATTATTATTATTATTATTATTATTATCATTATTTTCATTATTTTCATTATTTTCATTATCATTATTTTCATTATTATTATTTTCATTATTACTATTATCATTAGAATATTTATTTATTTATTTATTTATAATCTGTGTTTATTTATTTATGTATTTTATGTCTATATATTATTTCTTTTTCCTGCCAGGCACCTCCAGGATTAGAGCATGAGCTCCGTGGCTGAAGCTTCACATCCTTGGACAACCCCTCAGCAGCCTGAGCTGCTCCTTCACATGGAATTGGCCACACTGAGCCAAAAAAAAAAAAAAACAAAAAAAAACCCCAAAAAAAATACCAAAAAACACCAAAACTGTGCATTTTAGAGAGTGCCCGTGCCCCGTGAAGCATGAGGGGAGTGTCCCCAAGGAGTATGTCAGCACTAGGTGGCACAGGGACACGGAGATGCCACCACAAAACAAGATCCCTGTGGGTGGGGCACAGCTCCGGGTCTGGCTGGGGAGGGAATGTCACTGCCGGGGTGTGCCAGGAGCTGTCCCTGGCTCAGGATGGCTGCAGAGCCATCACCAGCTGCCCCTGGTGTCCCGGGAGCTGGCACATCCTGTCCCTGGCACAGGGAAACTCCCCCAAAGCCTCTCAGCTTTCCTACGAGCCACCTCTGCCTCGGGGCGTTTGATGTCAGCGGGTCCAGCCGGTCACCTGAGCCCCCTCCTCCCCATCCTGCCGTTTCTCTTTCCCTTCCCTGTGGCTTTGTGCCGTTTTTCCCCCTCTGCGAGCTGATGTCTTTCTTTTCCCACTTCCGTAGCTACGAACACCCACATGCCTTATCTCCTTCCCCCATCCCATCCTGAAGCCTATTTATACAGAGCCTGGCTCCTGCCCAGCCTGCCAGCGACGCCGCAGGAGCGGGACGGGGCTGGCAGCGCCCGCAGCCCAACATGCTCTGGGCTGCTCGGGGATGTTTCCTGCTCTGGCTGCTCCCGTCCATCCTCAGAGCCCGGGCTAGCCCGGAGACGAGGCCCAGCTCCCCGCTGTGCCAGCAGGTAAGGCTGTTTTCCAAGGAGCACCTGGGCTGGGATGGCTCCAGCAGCGTGGCTGGGGCTGCCAGCATCCCTCTGGATCTGGATCTCCTCCCTGTGGCTCTCACCTCCCTCCAGACTCCTCTTTAACTCTCCCAGCTTTTCCTCTGTTCTCCTGCCTTGGAGCTGGTCTCCTGTGAGGTGGTCCCTGGCATCCAGCTGCTCCGAGGAGGGAGTGCAGGGATTCCAGTGAGGCTTGGATGGGGAACAGCAGGTTTCTGTCACCCCAGAAAGAAATCAGCTGCTCCCCATCCAGGTTCTCAACTCCAGAGGAAACATGAGCGAGGGGAGAGCTGGAGCCTACACAGCGCCCCTTCCTCTGCCTAAACAGGGATGCTCTGGACCAGCTGGGCTTGGGAAGGGGGAGCAGTGTGCATTCCCACTTCTCATGCCCATCTTGGACAGCAGCTGGCTTGCCTGGAGCTATGGTTGTAGCCTCCTCCTCCCCATTCACACCTCTCCTGTCTCTCCACAGAGCCCCACGAAAGCGTCTTGCAAAGGAGTTGGCCTGCGGAAATTTCCCAAGGAGCTTGGCCAAGGAATTAAGTACCTTGAACTCTCCAACAACTTCATCCAAACCCTGTCAGGCAGCAACATGCCAGGATTTGGGCAGCTGGAGTACCTGGATGTGTGCTTCAACCAGCTGGAAGCTGTATCAGCCACCGCCCTGGCTCAGCTGCCTCGGCTGCGCTCGCTCCTCCTGGGATCGAACCGCCTGGACCGGAATTACCTGGCTAACGGGGAAGCTTTCCATCTGCTCAGGAATATAGAGGTCCTGGACCTGTCTGTGAATAACCTGGAGAGCCACATGGCCAGCTGGTACATCAGCAACCTCACCAGCCTGCGGGTGCTGGATCTCTCTGGGAACACGATGACCAAGCTGCTGGCAGGGACCTTCCGGAACTCGCCGCGGCTGCGCCAGCTCGACCTCAGCAACAACTACATCATGGAGATCCAGAAGGGAGCTTTTGAGCCTCTGGAAGAGCTGGAGGTGCTGAACTTGGCTTTGAATTCCCTCCACTGTGTCTCTGGCTTCAGCCTCACGCAGCTGCGAGTTTTAAACCTCAGCCACAACGCCCTGGAGCTCTTCTCCTCTGAGGAGGAGGGAGCGGAGCCCTACCTGCTCCGAGTGCTTGACTTGAGCCATAACAGACTCCTCTCTTTCCCAGAGCTCCCCAGAGCCCATGATCTCACACACTTAAACCTTTCCAACAACCTCATTTCTTCCCTGCTCCCAGGCTCAGCCCATCCCAGGGAGTTTGTCCTGCTCTACAAGGAGATGCAGAGGTTCAACAGGACCGTGCGTCCCGTGGCCGCTCTGACACACGTGGCTGACCTGGATCTCAGCAATAACCGCCTGGAGCTGTTCCCATTTTCCTTCTTCCAAAGCCTGGGCTCCCTGCACAGCCTCAGCCTGGCAAGGAACTGTCTCCAGGACGTGGCCAGGGAGTCTGCCTCCAATGGCACGGAGCTGTCCGTGCGCTGGCTGGATCTCCAAAGCAACGCCCTCCGTGTGCTGCCACGCTGGTTCTTCAATTCCCTGCCTCACCTGGAATCCATGGATCTGAGCTCCAACAGCCTCCAGCCCTGTGAAAGCCAGGGGAGTGACCAGGGAAGGGATTTGGGAGGGGATTCTCACACGTCAGCCCCCGGAGACACCTGCACCCCCTTCTACAACGTACCTCACCTGAAGCACCTGAGCCTGTCCAAGAACAACATCTCCAGGCTGCAGCCCCACGCCTTCAACCGGACCCCGCTGCTCTCCCTGGACCTGTCTGGAAACAGGGACTTGTCCATGCCCATGGGAGCACTGGGGGGGTTGGAGCTGTCCCTGCAAGAGCTCTCTCTGAGGGACAACCAGATGGACGAGGGCCAAGCAGCGCTGCCCTGCCTGGGCACTCTCCGAGTGCTGGACCTGTCGGGCAACCACCTGAGCCTGCTGCCCACGGGGCTCTCCTGCTCCCCGCTGGAGAGCCTGGACATTCAGAATAACCACCTGCAGAGCTTGGGAACAGCTGGGAGCTGGTCCCACAGCCTGAGGGCAGTGTTGGTGGCTGGGAACCCCTGGAGCTGCTGCTCTCTGGGCTGGCTGGACACGCTGCGTGCGGCCGGCGTGGCCGTGCCGGACCTGCCCCAAGCCCGCTGTGTCTTCCAGGAGCACGGCCGGAACATCTCGGCCAGGATCACCAACACTCCCCACTGGATCTGTCCCCAGCCCGAGGGCGCTGCCTCCCTGGCTCTGCTTGTGGCCCTGATGAGCCTTTCCCTCCTCACTGCCTGGGCTTTCTGCCTCCTGAGGAAAGGACGGAAGGCTCCGGGATGTGTGGGGCTTGGGAGCAACAGGGTGGGAGTCTTCCAGCCCCATCCCAAAGGAAAGGGGCCAGCTGAGGAGAGGCCAGCTGACAGCATCACCCAAGTGTAGCCCAGACCTGCAGCCATCGGTCAGAACTCTAATTATTATTAATAATATTAATATTAATAATATTATTGTGGTTTAGGTCTCCCTGGTACCTGTGTGATTTGTGAACCCAGTGACAGGAGCGTGGTGGGTGCTGGGCTCTGAGCCACCTCCCCTTCTCCTGAAACGAGATTCCCACATCCTCTCTGATCCCTGCCAGAAGTTAAACATGGAATTTGGGGTGCCATCACACATTTCCATCATTTGGAAACCAAGCCCTGGGCTGGCTGCATTGAGCACCCCCCTTCCTCCAGGTCACACTCAGCTGGATGGGAATTGTCTCTTTTGGGGCCACCTGGGTGTTTCCCAGCTTGCCCAGCAGCTCCTTTAAGAAGGTTTAATAGCTCTCCTGAAGCATTCCCAAATCCAGGGAGAAGCAGGAGGGAATGGGAACGGTGCTTGGGGGTGGCTGGCAGTGCCGGGGTGGGGAGGGGGTTTCTGTGGGACTGTGCCCACCTCTCTGTGCCCTTCCTTGCTGCGGATGCTGGGAGAAGTTCCACCCTGTCTTCACCCACTGGGATGGTGGGAATGGGAGAAGTGGGGGTCTGTGCTGTCCCTGGCTGGCACAAGGTGTCCCACCTGCAGTGCCAGGACCCCCGAGGTGAGGGTGGCAGAGACAGCTGGTCCCAGCACGAGGGAAATGCTGCCCAAGTCATGGTCCTGGAGGGGTTTGGCACCCTCTGAGCACCCCCCAAAGCCAGGGGTGATCCTGGGGCTCAGACCCCAGCTCGGGAAGGCAGCAGGAGGAGGTGTTGAGTGGGATTGTCTCTGTGTGGCGGTGTCCATCTCTCCCTTGAGTGACCTGTCCAGCTTCCCAGGGCAGAGTGGGAGCACCTGATGGGCTGGGCCAGCTCCAGGAAGTATAAAACTGAAGCTGCAGTGAAACCTTAAATGTTTCACATCCATTTGGTTCCACCTTGGAAGTCCCCAGCTAGGCCCAGTCACCTCCACACACCTGGTGGGCTGGGGCTGTGGGAACAAAAGGGCTTGGAAGTTACTTAAAATCCCAATTGCTTCATTTTCTTCCTTTTTTTTTTTTTTTTTTCCCTTTCAAGCTTATCATGGTTTTACTGGGAAGCAAAAAGGGCATTTTTGGTGTAAAATATGTCAGGGCTTCAGCTTCCTGCACTGGGAATAGAGCTCTAGGACCCCTGGTGAATTTGGTGGCCTCCACATTTCCACCCCTGCCTCAGTTTCCCTCTGATGCAGAGCCCTGCCACAGTGAGTGGCTGTGGCAGGGGCGCCTGTCACTGTGTGTCACCACCCTGTAGGACCCTGGGGACAGGAGGAAACCCAGCCTCCCCCTCCTGGGCTGCTGTTTGCTGGATCTCCTGCTCCCACACACCCCCTTCCCCTTGGAGCTCCTGTCCCCCTCAGGTTATGACCCCCAGCCACAGCCACCACAAGCCTTGTCCTCTCCCATCCCGCTGCTTCCCAGCTCCATCCCCAGCGCTGTCCCCAGCTGCTGTCCCTGGGGAGCCGGGCTCTGGCCATGGAGTGTCCCAGGAGCTGCTGTGCCCACCTGGGGCTTCTCCCCAGCACTGTCCCCTGTGCTTGGGTGACACCTGAGCTCCCTGGGGCAGGGATTTGCTTTCCCGCTGTCCAAGGGTGAGTTCAGACTGTCCCTGGGGCAGGGATTTGCTTTCCCAGGTGGGTGAGCTCAGCCCCGATGCCGTGCCAGCCTCCTGCCCCAGCGCTCGGTGACATTGCAGGGACCCTTCAGGTCCCCGAGTGCCTTCACTGGGTGTTTCTGGTTCATTTTTGCTGCCTCTGCTCCTCGTTTAACCCCTTCCCAGGCTGTGCTTCCCACTCGTGGCCCCGGGAGATGTCCTGGCTTTGTGCTGCTGCTCCCAGCAGCATCTTCCTCCCCTGGAGCTGGGAGCTGGGGCCGGGCGGGGACACTGGGGCCGGGCGGGGACACCACGTACCACCGCCCGCTCAGGGACACCATGTGCTGCCGGCAGCCGGTGCCAGGCGCTGCCTCGGGCATCCTGAGTGTCCCCAGCCCTGTTTATCCAGTGTCGTGTCCCCGCGGAGCAGCAGCTGGCAGGGGTTGACCCCTTCAGGGCAGTGGCACTTGGGGACAGCGGCTGCTGGTCCTGAAGTTTCTCTGGGGATTGAAGCATCTGCTGGAAAATGCATTAAAAAGAGGGCAGGGAGAATCCTGGGGCTGGTTTTAACCCACAGGAAAAGCTCCCAAATAACAGGACTGGATCTCAGAGGGATTTTCCAACCCTAAGGATTCTGTAAAGCCCAGGGGAAGGGGGGAGAGAGAGAACTTCCCAGGCTAAGGGGAGGCTGTGAAGGTGTGAAAAATGAGCCAGGGCAATGGCGTTGGGTTATCACCATTGCTGATGTCCGTGTGCTTCCCTGACTCAGAGAAAAATGAGATTTCAGGTTGTGCTTTGGTGGATTTGCCAAGGATTGGATCCAAGAGCAATGTCCCCTTCATCCAGTGCCAGGAGCAGGACATGGGGTGAGCCTGTGCTGGCCCAGGGGACAGTGGGATGTCACCAAACCACGTTTGTGCCCCCAAAACCAGCACGAGGCCAAGAGAAACCCGGAGTCTGTTCTGAGTTCTGCACTGCTCCTCATCCGGAGCTTCCCGTGCTTTAGGGGAAATGGTTTCCCTATCCCAGGCGTGTCTTGGCATCTCCAGTGCTTTCTTGATCCAGAAGGAGGGCAAAAGATCTGTAGAATATTAAAATTTTGAACAAATAAAGCGGCGATGCCAAAAATGTTGCATTTTCATGTCAGGCTGGAAGGCGGCAGGAGTGTAAATTTTGGTCTGACAAAAAAAGCAGCAGTGATTAAAATGTTGTGACCATTGACAAATTTTCTAGAGAACTGGTTGAGAAATCCAGCGAAACTCATTCTTTCCAGTGGAAAGCCTTCACATTTCCCTGGATCTGCATTTTCAAAGAAGAGTAGATTTTTATCAAAAATTTCCACCGAGCTGTTTCACTAACCCAGGTGGAAATTACCTTCCCTCAACTCACTTCAGTTACAGCAGTTTTTCTTTTCCCCTTTTTCTTCTGTTTTTTTTTTTTTTCTTTTTTCCCCCTTTTTTTCATGGTCCAGAGCTTCATCTGCTGCAGGAGCTGAAGGATATCCTGGGAAGTGCCTGGCAGATCCCTCTCCTCAGGCCACCCCAGCCGGGCAGAACGAGGCGAGGAGAGCGTTTCTCCTCCTCTGTGCTCAGACAGAGCCTAAATTAACCTAAATCTCCCCAGTCCTGATAAGATAATGAGTCCTTTCACCCAGCTGAAGATAAATCCCCTTCCAGAGGGCTGCTGGAGGTACCATTTCTTTTATTTAACCTGATATTGCTGCAGTGCCCATTCCCAAATCCTTTTGATCTTGTGGAGGCACGTCCTCGTGCCGTGTTCTGGCTGCCTGGGATGTGCTCCTGGTGAATGTGGCGCTTTCTCTGTGGCTTTGGGATGGGACAAGAGGCTGGTGGCACCTCCAGGACACCGCCCTGTGTCTCTCCCATCCTTCGGGCTGCTTCCCATTATCCCTTCCTGCCACGGCTCCGTGACTGGCACAGCTCCCCTGGCAGCTCTTCCCAGCCCGGGCGTGTCGTTCATGCCACTTTTGCTCCTCTGCAGGGGCCGTGGCCGGGCTGGGATCTCCATCTCGGGGTGTGGTGGATGTGGAACATGTCACCCCATGTCCCCGCTGCCTTGCAGAGCCTCTGCAGCGTCACCTCCCCGGCTGGGGGGGACAGATGCTGCCACATGTTCTGCAGCTGGATCCTCCCTGCCAGCTGTGCCAGCTGTGCCAGGGCTGCCTGGACGGGCCAGGGGCACAGGGGGAAGCGTCACCCCGTGTCGTGTCCTCACCGCCGATGCGGATCCGCTGTCCCCGCTCCCAGATTTGGGACGCTGTGGGGACGGGTGACACTGGCAGGTGGCTCTGCAGGATCAGGTCCCTGCCACCCCCACCCGGTGCTCTCTGGGAAGAGGAAGAGGATGGTTTCCCTGAGCTCCATGGCAGGAAGGGCTCCTGCCACCCGGGGTGACCGTCCCGCTGTCCCCAGCCTCTAGAGGGGACGGGTTGCTCCCAGTGTCCACCAGCAGCAGGAATCTCATCCCCAGCCCCTGGGCTGTGCGAGGAGCAGGAACACCAGTGCCACACGACCGTGTGCCACCAGCCCCTGTGTCACTGTCACCACACTGGCACAGCCCCAAAGGGATGTGGCTCCTCGCAGGGCCGGTCAGTAGGTGAGAGTGGGGTGGGGAACCGGGGCCAGCGGGGCCTGAGGGGACACTTTGATGGCAGGGAAACCCCAGGAAGGTCCCTGGATCTGCCACTCCTGAGCCTGGGAGTCAGAGGCCATTGGGAGCTGGGCCAGTGCATGGGGACTCCGTGTGCTCACACGGGTCACAAACCACTCACAGGTGTTTGCTTTGGCCCCTGTCTGAGTCCCAGGAGCGAGGGACACCAACCTTTGGCCCTCCAGGACAACTCTTTGCTGTTCCTCCACTAAAGCCTCATCCCAGGAGCTCTGACCCAGCCCCAGCTCTGCCCCTTTAGCCCCTCCTGGAGCTGTCCCCTCCCTGTGTGACGGACACCAGGCAGGGGGGACGGACCTTTCCCGATGTTCTCCAGGCTCCTTTGGTCTCCCCGCTGCCAGTGAAGCCCCAGCTGGGGAAGGGAAGCCTCTCCTGGGCTGGGAATCCCCTCCTGCCTCGCTCCTTCCCTCAGGGCCAGCCCAGCTTGGAAGGGGAAGGAAGGGGTATTTTTAGCACTCACCCTCCGGTTGTTCCAAGGATTGAGCTAAAAAGAGGAATTGACGTTCAAAGGAGGGCTGGCTTTGCTTTAAAAGGAAAGGTTTGTGTTTTTCCTGCTACTCAGTTGTTGCAAGACTTTCCTGTGAAGAGGGGTTGGTAAAAATACCTCTGGTGGGAGGTGGCAGCCTGTGACATCGGTGCACAGTTCCCTGTGCTGGCCCTGCTTCCCTTGCCCAGTTCCCAGGGTGAATTCCCATCCCAAAGGATGGGGTGGGGTGGGACTCAGCCCCCTGTCCTGGTGCTGATCACAGCTCCCATCACCTTTGAAGGGAATTCTCTCCTGCCAGCCCATCCTGGAGTGGTTCCTCTGCATTCCTGCCCTCCAGCACCTTTTCCTGACCCTTAGGACCCCCCTGGGAACTCAGGTGCCTTCCCAGCTGCCATCCAACCCCAGCATTGTCCTGGCAACCCCCTGGAGATCCTCCAGGTCCCAAAACAAGACACCATCCACACCCTGAGGAGGAGTTTAGCTGGAAGACACAAGGGACAGAATCCAAAACACCAGCTTTGGTGTTTAGGGAATACAGACTTGGGTTATCCCTGCGCTCCTCCTTTTCTCTCTGCCCTTTAACCAATCCCCTGGCAACTGCTTGGGATTCAGGAGTGGCCTGGGACCCTTCCTCCCCCTTTGCATCCTGAGGGAATTGTTTGGCAAGGAGACTCGAGCCGTGTGTCCTGGTTTTATTGTGTGTGATCCCAAATCAAAGGAAGGTCACGAGGAGACAAAGCTCAACCATCCAGGCACGTCCTGTCAAGGTGAGAGGTCGCAGGGGGTGACAAGCAACCCCCAACTTGGTTCTGTCAAGGAAAAGCACCTTCCAGAGAGAGGGGAAGTGGCACAGCCAGGGAGAAAGTGAAAGCCTAAAAAGTGGGTTTCAACCTGTGACCCTTTCCAAAAACCTGGGGTCAGCTGGGCTTGTGTCAAATGTCACTTCCCAGCGTGGGAAAATCCCGGCCTACCTGGTTCCTCACGGGCTCCCAGCAGCACTTTTGGTTTTGGACTTGTAGGAGGGAGAGATCCCGAGAAATGCATCTTGTGACCAGCCCTGGTGCCCTGCCACGGCACTTTGGGCAGCCCCTGCTGGCACTTCGGGGCTGGTGCCTGTGCCAGCTCAGGGATCTGCACTCTTCTGGGTCAAGGAAAATGTGCTTTTTCAATTATTTTGTAAAGAAAACAAGAAAAAAAAAAAAAAAAAAAAAAAAAAAAGAGAAATTACGAGCCTGTGCTGACCCTAAAGGAGGGTGCAGCCGGGGGTGGGCTCTGGGGACAAGGGACAGGACAGGAGGACACGGCCTCCAGCTATGCCAGGGGAGATTTAATTGGATATTAGGGAAAATTTCTCATGGAAAGGGCGGCAGTGGTGGAGTCACATCCCTGCAGGGATTTAAAATCCACGTGAATGTGGCACTGTGGGGACATGGGCAGTGGTGGCCTTGGCAGTGCTGGGGGAAGCGGCTCATCCCTCAACCCCCTCCCGGGCGCCGTTTGGGGACGGTCACTGCTAATGACAGCTGGACCTCCCTCCAGCCCCTCCTTGTCCCTAACCCTGTGAATGGCACCGAAACCGCCTTTGTTCCCCTCGCCGGGGGGCAGGACCCGCCACCACCGCTGCTATAAAAGGGGTGGTGGGGCCGAGCGGTCCCAGCCCCATCCCAGTCCCTGTCCCAGCCCCATCCCAGTCCCTGTCCCAGCCCCATCCCAGCCCCATTCCCGGCCATGGGCCGCCCCACCGCCGCTGCCACCGCGCTGCTGTGCCAGCTGGGCCTCTCCGCAGCCATCCAGTGGCTGTGAGTAGGGAACCTCTCCCTCCAGAGCCCCTCTTGGCGGTCCCTCGGGGCGCCGTGGCCCCCCCGGTGACCCCAGCTCTCCCCACAGCGGGCTGGCAGACAGCGGGGTGGCCTGGAACGAGAGCCAGCACTGCCGGCTGCTGCTGCCGGAGCAGCTTCAGCTGTGCCGCCGGCACCTGGAGGTGATGCCCAGCATCGTCCGGGCTGCCCGCCGGACGCAGGAGCTGTGCCAGCAGAGCTTTGCAGACATGAGGTGGAACTGCTCCTCCATCCGGGGCGCCCCCAGCTTCGGCCCGGAGCTGCTCACAGGTAAGGGATGCTCCTCCCGCAGAGCCGCTGCTGCCGCTCTGCCCCGGGAGCATCCCGGGCTGCCGGGGTCTCCTCTGCCCTGGGTTTCTGTTTTGGGGTAAATATCCTGCCTTTACGTGGTGCTAATCCTGCGCAAGCTCCACCTGGGGGAGGTGACAGACACTAAGTTCCATTTCAAACAGCTGCCAGAGGCTCCAAAGAAAGGGGGGAAGAGGTGGGGATAGGGGCAGGTTGATACAGGGAGCACGGGTTAAAAAGCAAAACTTGAGAGGCCTTGGGTTCGTCCGGCTGCAAGACGAAATAAAAACTCCTCGAGCGGTGAGATGTGCCAGAGGAGAGTCCGGCTGGGCAGGGAGGAAGGAAATATCTCTGTTTTCTCCGCAGGAACACGGGAAGCCGCCTTCGTGCACGCCCTGGCAGCGGCGGCCGTGGCCCAGGGCATCGCCCGCTCCTGCTCCTCCGGAGAGCTCCCGCTGTGCTCCTGCG